CCACCACCACCACCACCACCACCACCACCCTTACCAACCAGAGGCGCTTTTTCTCCATGTGAGTGTGTACGAATGCTCGATTTTGTCCCCTCCCCCATGGCTGATGAAAGAGAGGTGTTTTACTCTTATTCGTGATGCCCACGTGAGGAGGGTGGTCGATCGCGAGTGGTGGAAGCGGCGGGTCCGCTCCGGATCTTGTGTGGTCTTCATTAGCGACTCGCAGTTACTAAGGCCTACTGCACCGCATTTAAGGGGACATGATCCGGTTGTTAAACAGAGTACTCGAGTCGTGGGACGTGCTGTTGCAGGCCATCTGTCATTGGGTGTTGCCATCACGGTGCCATGCCACAACGTGGCCTGATTCACTGGCAGGAGTGTCGCACCCATGTGTCGCAGCTGCACGCCTGAGTGAACGAATGCGAAAAAACAACAGACACCCAACTGCTCAAACCTGACGAGGCTTCTGTTTATCCTGTCATGACGGCAGATGTGTGCAAATGCATCTGTCTCCCCAGCCACATTTCCGGAAGAGGGTGTATTTGTGTGCATACGTGGCATTTTTGCCTGCACTGCTGGAGTGGTAGTCGGTTTGGGTGTCATGCGTGGTCTCATGGGATTCATCTACTCACTCTTCGTGCGTGGATGATGTTAACAGCACATTCTCGCATGCTTGCTTGCGACCACTCAGCTCTTTCTGTATGAAGAACGTACCGACAATGACAAGGGATACTATGATGGCCATTTCTGGCTTATTATTCGTTCTCAGCCAGCCTGATCCAACCCCAGGACGGCAGAACCCGTAGCTTGAACTCCCGTTCTTTGGACACTGGGCGTCATTCAGTCTACCGTTGTTGTGCTGTCTTTGTCTGTATTACATTGCTGCGTTGCTATGAGACGGTCTGTGAGGCTGTTAGGTTGAGCATGTCCGTAACCTGACCTGTTAAAGGCCCCTCATTCTGCCGTCGGCATGACCTATCTGCGTAAATGAATTTGGGCCAGTTGCATACCTTGAAGATACTATATTCTCTCGTGAGTGGACTCTGTTGACTTGGGGATGGAAGTGATCTTCCTCCTGGGAGGATTAGATCAGGATGTGAGTTTGGACGCAGGGTCAAACCAGGCATTTTGTCCACGTCTCTGGGGTCCAACGTCCGCGTTCTCTCCTCAGCTTGGACACTTTGGCTACTCAGGTGTCACACTGGCCAGGTTGGAAAGGCGTCACTGCGTCCGTCAGTCATCCCCTCCCAGTTGTGTGCGCATCAACCTCGCTTGCATCATTCGAATTGTCAGTTGCATGTTCATTCACACATATGGGCAATGGGAAACTGGTTTCTTATACAATGCTTTAATGAGCAATGCCACGAGTGGCAGTGGATATTTTTTGGAGGTTAATATCTAAGGGCAGAAATCCTATCGTCTAATCATGGCCGTTCTGGTCTGCGCTGATAGAGATGCAAGGATTTGTTAGACTTTGATATACGGGGTCTTAAGGTCTGCAGCAGGACTTCAGGACTTGAGGCCGGCTGCAGTTGATCGTAGCAACAGCCGGACAATTGGTTCGCATAGGTAAGTGTGGGTTGATCCACTTGATGGTGCACCTATGAACTGAATCAGTGAAGACCATTAATAACAGATAAATTTAGGTTATATTTCGACCCAGTATGACTGTAAATGAATGAATGAATGATTGTGAGTATGACTGCCCGGTCATCCTCGTCCTTCTGACCCGTTGTCGTTGTCGATTAAAATCCCGGCCAAGGTCTGGTTGTGGATCAGGGGGTGTGGTGGTACGCCTAGGTGCGGGTCCGGCCGTGCCAGTCACATGCGTCCACCATCCCACCCGGCCTTCTTGGCTATGTCCTGACACAGGGTCCAGGTGGGGAGGAGAAGAGAGTGCGGTTGACGCTATGCAAGTCTACTCTCACTATAACCTAATTGACGCGCAAGTCACCGTGCCTGCTCCAGCTAGTTGTGTAGCATACGGTGGGCATCGTCGGGCACGACGGTCAAACTGTGTGTAAATGAGCAGTGTCTTTTGCTCGACGCAGTTTGTTCTTGCCTCAAAGTCAGGTGCAATGAATTGGCCTTTTAAACGGATGATGTGTTTTATTCTAGCTTTGGATAAGTGATACGTTTTTTTCGTCCTTTTTGCTTAAAGAAGGAGAAGTTCAGCAGTTGTGCTTTAAAGATACAGGGGTTGAAGTGTAGCCTAGTTTCCATTTCCAAACATGTGCAATGTAATTGCTTTTGGCAAGTTTGAAAGTCTGAGCTCAAGGCAGCACTCCTAGGATACCAATAAATGCCGAAAAATTAAAGTCTTGAGGTGTTAAATTGTCCGATTATAAGGTAAACCCTGTAGGCCTTGTAGGTCGGATGATTCCCCTAGTGACCGATCCGCACACTCGTTAACTGGCCTCCAACTCTCTTCTGTGGCTCCCCGAAGCAAAGCCAAAGTCCAGCGGACACAACCCCGATAACCGTCTCTACCGGCGCATTAAACCAGATGAGGGTATCCAGTGTCGCGTGTGTGTCCCCACACCCGGTTATTCTGTCACACTATAATTATCTCCTCCCTTCCACCATGAACAACGTAGAGGATAGTCCGACATTCAATCACCCAGACGACCAGGCTAGCTCGGGTGTCTCTATCGCTAAACCGACCAGCCGTCTGTGATGTCTAGTCGGCCCTATTTGGGAGTGGGGCTAGAAAAGGCTCTCAAAACAAATGCTTGGATGGTGTCATCTACGCGCGGACCTTGGTTCGCAGATGGACAACCCACGGTCGAAACAATCAAACCAGCAACTCCAACCCTCACCCCCATTCCCCACCCCACTGCATAGGCTGCCAGAGTAAGTCCGCTCACTCTGGCAACCTGGAATGTGTGTTTTCTTTTGAACAATCCAAGGAGCAACCGGTCGCAACGGAGGACAGCGCCGGTCGCTCGCAAATTGGCACGCTACACGGTGGACATCGCTGCTCTCAACGAGATCCCCTTCCCCGAGCAAAGCCAAGCGGGTGAGGTGGGTGCTGGCTATACCTTTTTCTGATGTGGCCGTCCAAATGCAGAGCGACATGACTCTGACGTCATCTTCGCCATCCGAAATGACGTCATAGGACGGCTGTCCTGTCAGCCGCAGGACATAAACCACCTTCTTATTACCCAACACCTGCCTCTGCGGAGAGTCAAATTTTCCACTATCATCAACGGTTAGGCTTTCTCCTTCCCAGCAGTGAAGTCCAAGGAAGCGTAGAACAAAATCGATGAAGACATGCACACCCTCCCGACGGCCGTGCTGAAGGCGGACACGTTGACTGTTTTCGGTGACTTCAGTGTCCGCGTCAGGACAGATCACGCTGCCTGGGGTGGGAGTGCTGGGTCCTCATGGTCATGGTGGCGGTAGAAACAACGACCTCCTCCTCCTCCTCCTCCTCCCCTTCTTCTTCCTCCTCCTTCTCCTCCTCTCCCTCCTCCTCATTCTCCTCCTCCTCCTGCTAATCTGTGCAGAACACCGTCCATATCCTAGCCAACACCTTCCGCCCTTCGATGCGGAGGAAAGCAACCTGGATGCACCGTCGATCGCAGCTCCGGCAACTGTTGGACTAAGTTCTCATCCGGAGGCGATATCTATAGGAGGTGCGACGCCGACGGCCGAACCGACCACGCCCTCGTCATAGTCAGAATGAGACTTCGACCGCAACCTCGCAGGTGACCACAAGGTAAGCGACCAAAAGGTAAGTTAAGTACAGTTCTCTTGAAGTTGCCTGCTCGCCACTTGAATTTCAGTAGTAAATGGATTTAGCTGTTAAATTACTTGAGAGTCCCGGGCGAGTAAGTCTCCGTGGAGACAGTGGCGCCAGCTGCGGAGCGTCATCCACTCCACTGCCATGGATGTCGTCGGTCTCCGATGCCGTCAAAAAATGGTTGATTTGACGAAACCGACGAAAAAATCCGCAATCCGCCTGTCGAAAGGAGCAGAATCCACGTAGCCCACGCCAAACGCGGCGTCGACGCCTACAAGACTGCATTCTTTGGATGTAGTCGCTTGGTGCGGAAATAACTGCGGGAGATGTGGGATGACTGGGTGGATCGCCAGGTCGAGGAAATCCCAGGGGTATGCAAAAAACAGTGGAACAATAACTTCTTCGTCTTTATAAAGACAGGCTTCCACCCTACATCAAAGGATCCCTTCCGCTCCTTAACTACGGTGGAACAACTCTCCTCATAGACAAATCGCGGATTCTGAATGGCTGGGTGGAATAGTTCAGAAATGTCCTCAAGCGCCCATCCACGATCCCGAACCCCGCCACCGATCAGCTCTTCCAGGTGGAAAAGAACAACCACACGGACCTCCCACCTTCTTCCCAGAAACGATCAGAACCGCGCAACAGCTCTCTAGCGGGAAAGTGCCGGGATCCGTCCAGTCTATTTTCGAAAGACATTTTCTTCTATCACCTAGGTTCCCATAGATGGACATTATAAAAGACTTAAACAGTTTTGAAGGGGTCTGCGAAGCCTGGCAAGGGATGTAAGTCGTTTCAGGAAACCACTGGACACTAGAGGGTAATAATTTTGGAGTGGATGTTTTGTGCGACCACTATTTCAGTGCAAAATACTTCATACACAAGGATATTACATTAGGACTACAAAAAGTAGCCTCCTTGGCAGCCTCTTTTGAGAAAACAATAAGGAATTTTGTAAGAGTAACGAAAAAAGTTTAGGAAAATAGTATGTGCCGTGATTTTGCATTTGTAAGAATCTTGCAGCCAATCAGACAAATTCTTGTGGGCGAAGCATCCTGTCAGCGAGCAAGCATTAGTATGAGGACGAATTTCACATCAATTAGTTCATCAAAAGATGAAAAAGCTTAGTCGGCGTCTCACGGGATCACGCTTTATTAAGGGTTGTTGTTGTAGCAACCGCACTTTCCGAGTCCTCTTCACGTGACCCAAACTGCGCAATGGATTGTCGATTTTGGCAGCCTGATTGCCTCCTCCGACGCCCCCGGGAGGGAGACGTCACACATACACGCAGCCGGTCTCCAGCGGCGTGACCAGATCACGCAGCGTGACCTTATTTGGCTCGAGGATCTACCAGTGGGATAGACTTCCCCGGAAAGAGAGCGAGAGAGAGAGAGCGAATTCTCACATCAACGCAGCGCCCGCGGAGCGACTCAGATGTCAACGGTACCGGGCCAACTAGCCAACTTGATGGCCGGTTACTTGCTTCGCCGGTTGACTAGCATTACGGAGACTGTCAGTTCCTACCTCGGACCGCCACAAACATCGTCGTTACAGCAGCAGCAGCAGCCGCCGCAAGGCCAGAAGGAGAAAGAATCCTGTCTGATGAGCTCGTTGGAGGCGAATGCTGACAATGGGCCCATGAAGAAGGCATGTCTTGGAAGAAAAGCCTCGCAGGTAGGGTACGTATTGGGTCTCCCCCACATGTGCAGAAGTTTTGTTTAAAACTGAATCACTGCTGAGAAGTTTATATCATCTGGGCTGCCGTCTGCATGCGGGGGGCCGCAGATATCACTGTCAGTTTGCTTCGAAATTGCAGCTTCCTGCCCGAAACCGTGGTCGTTTTGACACTGAACTCACCTGAATTCACTAACCGGAAGACAAATGGTGCTTTTAAATGCTTTGTTAACCTCAAGACATCAGGACGCGCGGGCTGCGAAAAATGTTTTATCGATTAGTTCTAGCTGGAAGAGACAACTGCGATGCCAGGGAAGATACACCACACGCACGCGCGCGCGCCCGAGGGCCGAATCCTGGATCCAGGGCACTCAACTCGGAGCCCCTGGGGATCTGAAAGAAGAGTGTCGGTGGTAGAGCCGGTTAAGACATAACTGTGTATGACGTCATCTTCGTGGAGGCGTCGATTTCGACAGCATTTTTACATGGAATCGTCAGCGAAGTCGGCGCGACCGCCAGACTGAAAATTTGCCGCAACCAGCAGAGCAACTTTGCATCACACGTGGATCTGCACCGCCTGCAAACAGAACCCCCCCCCCCCCCCCCCCC